CATCAGAGAAACTATCTCCAATTTAGTCCCTTAAGCTTTTTGAATTAGGTCTTCCAGAAGAACTTGGAATGAGCATACTGACAGAGATGAAAGATCCATGGCAGCTTTAGCCCAAAAATGAACATCCCAACACCACCCTCTTTCTCCAGCCCTGTCCTCGCCTGTAGCAGGCTGTGTTCAAATTCCTCTATGATAAGAACCTGTTTGTTTAAGAAGTTTTGGGCTGGGATCGTACAACTTCCACTGTTAACTTAGGCTCAAGCTGACCTTCAGTAGCAGAAATTTCTCCTTGCATTCTAATCAACTCCATCCGTAGTTTTCCATTCTATATATACAATAAATATGGAAAACTTATATTTGTTACCCCATGAATAACTTTAAATGCCCAACATGGATAATGCACTTCAAGTGCATACGATAACTAATAAAATAACCTGTCATAAACTGCATTTTATTTCTTTTCCTTGGGGGTCTTCAGTATTTTAGATGTCCTATCCCATCTAAAGTCCCATCTAAAACTGTACGAACCTTGGAAATTATTCTCCAACTTAAGGCACAGATATATATTTTCCCTGATATAGGTAAAAAAATCTTAATTTTGTACATAAATTAAGAAGTAATGATAGAAAGTTGCTTCCACTCAGATTCAAGGCAGCAGAGAGAAGCTATGTCAGTCAGTCTGCCTGCTGGAAATTGATTGACCCTTCTCCTTCTCTTAAGGTACAATTGTTTCTGCCTTGAAAACCCAGGCACACATTCCTTTCCCTCCAACATTCTTCAGAATTGTCCGCTTGGCTCGGATTGGCCGAATCCTGAGACTTGTTCAGGCAGCACGAGGAATCAGAACTCTCCTTTTCGCGCTAATGATGTCTCTTCCCTCTCTATTCAATATTGGTCTTCTACTCTTTCTGGTTATGTTTATTTATGCCATTTTTGGTATGAACTGTTTTTGCAAAGTGAAGGAAGAGTCTGGAATTGATGACATATTCAACTTCAAAACTTTCAAAGGCAGCATGCTCTGCCTCTTCCAGATAACCACGTCAGCAGGCTGGGATGCCCTCCTCAGCCCCATGTTGCAATCAAAAGACTCATGTAACCCCAAGTCAGAGAACTGTCACCTCTCTGCCATAGCCATAACCTACTTCGTCAGTTATATCATCATCTCCTTTCTCATCGTGGTCAACATGTATATTGCTGTGATTTTAGAAAACTTCAATATAGCCACTGAAGAAAGTGAGGACCCTTTGGGTGAAGACGACTTTGAAATATTCTACGAAGTCTGGGAAAAGTTTGACCCGGAAGCAACACAATTTATCAAATATTCTGCTCTTTCTGACTTTGCTGATGCCCTTCCTGAGCCTCTCCGTGTGGCAAAGCCAAATAAATACCAATTTTTAGTCATGGACTTGCCCATGGTGAGCGGAGATCGCCTTCATTGCCTGGATATCCTGTTCGCTTTCACTGCTAGGGTACTTGGTGAGTCCAGTGGCCTGGATAGCATGAAAGCAGTGATGGAGGAGAAGTTCATGGAAGCCAACCCTTTCAAGAAGTTATATGAACCCATAGTCACCACCACCAAGAGGAAGGAAGAGGAAAGATGTGCTGCTGTAATTCAAAAGGCCTTTCGAAAGTACATGATGAAGACCAAGTGTACCTTGGAAGACAGGCCTCATTCACCCCTCCAGACACTCTGCAATGGAGACTTGTCCAGCTCTGGGGTGGCCGAGGGCAAGGTCCACTACGACTGAGCCCCTCACCTCCACCCCTACCTCACAGCCTCAGAGCCTTGCCTCCAGCCTCTGAGCTCCAAGGGGTCCACAGCTCAGTGTGCGAACAAGCAGTGGACTCACTGAACTAGCCATTCCATTTTTCTTTTTCTGGCTAAAAGAAATGGTGTTTCTGAGTTCACTTCAAATGGTTCTTATAGAGATATAAGATAAGGCTGCCCGACTATAACCACCGGTACTGTTTTAACCAGGAAAAAGACACTAGAATGGGCTGTAGAGCAGGGGTCTCCAACCCCTGGGCTGCACACCACACTACCAGTCCGTGGCCTGTCAGAAACTGGGCCGCACAGCAAGAGGTGAGCAGAGGGTGAGCCAGCAAGATTTCATCTGCCGCTCCACATCACTCGCGTTCCACCCGAACCACCCCTCCGCAACCCAGTCTGTGGAAATACTGTCTTCTGCAAAATTGGTCCCTGGTGCCAGAAAGGTTGGGGACCGCTGCTGTAGGGGACACTAATGTGAGGATTGAAGCACAGTTCAAATTATATCAAAAGAAACTAATAAGAAACAGAAAACATTAACATTTTAAATTGTGTTTTTCCAAATGTTCTTAAGTACAGTATCCAACACCTTTGTTTGATGTTTTCCCCAATAAAATATATGGCTTATCACACATAACTCTTCTGCATGCTAAGTGAAAATTCAAAACCTGCCAATAAATACTTATTGCAGATTTTTTTTTAACCAGCATTAAACTTTTGGGGTTTATTTCAAACCTAAAAGCATGGTCATGACTTGTCAGTTACCACCGTATCTTTCACCAGCTGCAATCTCTGTTATATATTTCCAGGGAAAAAATAAATAAATGAGACTTTCAGTTTGCATTTCATTCAGACACTACACTAAAAATCCTCTTGTTTGGTGGCTGTGTGAGTAGTGGTTTAAATGTGGTACTTTGCTTGGAATTAAAGGCGGGAGCCAGTGGTGTGCTGATAAGTGTATAACAGTTGCTCTTCAGGAAAAAAAAGCCATGATTTGTAGCATTTACTGATTTCTGTGGTGAATACTCCCATCATGACTGATTTCAAGCTACCAACATGTTTCTGAACGTAGAGTTGGGAAGAGACGTCCACAATCAGTTCTCGCGAGCTGCCCGGAGCTGGCTCAGCACACCACTGGCTGGAACCAGTAAGACAGTCTCACTTACCTCTGGTTAAAATATCTGCAATGCGCAACTTGGATGGAGAGAGCAACCCCTTAACAACACCTGGACCCCAGGGCAGGGGAGCCATAAGACATACTGGTTAGCCGGTGACCTCAGTCATTTGATGAGTCCTACATTCAGTTCTGGCTGAAGGTCTGCATCAAACACAGCCCAGAGAACAACCAGGTCGATCAGAAGGGCCTGGCCCCAGGAGTAGCCCAGGACCTCCCTAAAAACTGGAGATGCCCAGAGGCCAAACAAGACATTAGCTGGACTGGGGACAAAGAACTACACTGTGATAATCTAGGCTTGGAGGAGAACCCTGCAGAAATAGTCCTGGAATCCTGTATCTCAGACAGACTGGAGGAGTTGATGTGTCTGTAAGCAGCCTGGAGTCTGAGGCCTGAGCCTCTGCCCTGCCCTTCACTGTCCAGTGGAGGTAAGGCCAATGCCAGATACTGTGGTGCACGGAGGGGGTGCTTATTTACAATGTGCACAAGATCTAACCATGACTCAATGTATTCGTGTCCAGGGCCTGAGTTTTGTAGGCAGCCTTGTGCTCTGGAGCGTTGGCAAAAAGTAGTAATATCATTATCTAATTATTATCAATATCTAATTTTTACTTAGCATTTGCTGTGTGTCAGGCACTGGCTAAGTGTTTGCCACGCATAATCTCATCTGTACCTCACAATAGCCCAGTGAGTGTGCTGTCACTCAGCAGGTGGAGCCTGAGCCTCTGTGCCATGCTGAGGCAGGGGAATGGCCAGAACAAGGGCACTTTTGAGACAGGGCCACAGGGCTCCCATATAGGGCTGCAAGAGCCTTGTGGAAATCACCAGTTCTAAAGTCATGGCCAGTTCTGCTTGAGGCCCTGGGGATTACCTGTGTCTTCCCTAAAAGATGCCTCCGATTATGAACTCTGGGTGTTTTATGGATCCCTACCAAGTCTTCTGGAAAAGATGGCTGGCCCTGATTCTACTAGGAATATCCCCTGGCTGGAGGTAAGGGAGGGTCTGGAAGGACATGGTCTTGTCTATTCCAGATTACAATTTAGGGGCTTGAATATAATCTGTTCTGTGCAATAGCTTCTGCCCTTCTCACACACACCTGTCCACCCCCACATGGTCCCCTTTCGCCAGTGCTGGATTCCTGGAGCCAGCTTCTGGGGAGAGCACAGGATCCCTCCCTCTGGCTTCTGCAAGAGGCTGAGCCATGCTTCCTTCACTAGATGGCAGCAAATGCCCAACATGTTCTTTTCTGAAAGCTGCACAGCATCTCTCTGTATGAGCCTAGAGCTCAAAGAGCCAGAGGGCTAAAGGTGGAGAAGAGAGCCAAGGCAAGGAAGTGTTTAATTACCTTGGATGGGTGCTAGAGAACTCACACTCCCCAGAGACAGCTCTCACTGTGCAAGGAGCCAGGATACTCCCGAGAGGCAGAGATGTTGGTCTGAGCTCTGTCCTCCTGGGGCCGTGCTGAATGTCAACCGTAGACAGCCCTACAGACACATGAAGCCAGTCCCCTGTCTTCTGAGCCTTCTTTTCTCCAGGCAAATCAGCCCCTGCTCAATTCAGTCAATAGACAAGTTCTGGAGGGCCAATGCAATACCACCTTGTGCAAACTGCTTCTAACCAATGGCTCTTGACCTCAAGAGTATATATGCTAATTGGGAGGAGAATTAGACAGGTGTTTGTGTGATGACAATACAATGCAAAATAACAAGTGCATGAACCAGGACACAGCTCTGCTCTCAAAGTGTGAGTGGAGACAAGGCTCACAGGAAGGCTTCACAAGAGAGAGGGGGGCATCTGAGATGAGCTGGGTAATGTGTGGGATTGTGACGGATGGAGGTGGTTCGGGAGGGTGTTTGAAGGGGAGGAGACAGTATAGGCAGCACCCTGGAGTGTAAGGAGTGTAAACAGTGGAAGGAAGCACGAGCTCCTCAATTGACTGGGCTCAGAGTATAGACAGTGGAGCAGCAGCAGCTGAATCTAGAAATGGACAGTTTTGTGGAGAGCCTCGAATGCCAGAGCGAAGGGTGCTAACATATTTAGGTAATAAGGAGGCATTGACGGTGTTTGAGCAGGGGAGGAAATTAACTGGACAGAGTATTCAGGTGGAATGGAGGAGAAAGAGATCAGAATGTGGATCCTGGTGTGGAAGAGGCACTGAGTGAGGACGAAGGCAGGGGGCAATGCGGTGTGACTCAGATACCTGTGCCAAATGCCTGTCCATGGGGGAGGTGTCTAGGGAGGAACCTTAAGATTTTGGGCCAGGGTGACAAGATAAATGGCAGCACAAGTTACCAAATTAATGAGCCTAGGAGGGATAAGGTTTTTTTCATTTATTTTTGTTTTCATGAAGGAAGAAGAAAATCTAAAAATCAACTCGGTTTTGAACACTTTGAAGGTTTAAGATGCCAGGTCCAAGTGACAATGTTCAGACAGGCCTGGAACTTGAGGACATGGCCTGGACAAGAATCCTCAGCACAAGGGTGACATTTGAAACCCCGGGAGCAGACTAAATCGTGGAGGGGTGAGCATACCAGAGGACTCACCGTGGGGGCCATGCTCTCAGAGAATAAAGGTGAGGAGATGATTCAGAGAAGGGTGTGGGGAGGTAGGTGAAGGTAACACCACGACACACATTGTGGGCACAGAGCAGGCTTCACAAGAAAGTCATAGCCAACAAGATGAGATACATGATCCCACCTTTTCATCCCTTCCACCAAGAAGCATTCAAGAAGCCAGGGCACAGCATGGTGGTGTTCCAGGAAGGGATCCCTACCCTTTCATGGAGCAAGTGTGAGAGCTTGCCTTGTAAATAATCCAGACTCAGGAGCCAGCTGTTCAGGAGAGCTCTCTTGGAATGTCAGCTACTAGCACCCAGTGTCCTTAGAGAGGCTGCAATCCTGTACAGCTCCTCCTGCTCAAGGAGAGGGAGCCACTGGTCCCAGATGGTTGTTGCCTGACAACCCAGATGGAACCTCCAGGGTCATTCAGTGGGCAATCCTGTCCCTCACTGCCCAGGAGTCATCAAAGAGGCGGTGAGAAGACAAGTGCAATAAAAAAACATTTATTCAGCATTTATTCTGGACTTAGTAGCCACTTTCCAGTATTACCTTGTTTAATCTTCACAACAGCTCTAGTAGGGATAAACTATTTTGAATCTTCATTATTCTGATGAGAAAACTGAGGCATGTAGAGTGAATAAGAAGCTTGTTCAAGGCAACGTAACCAATAAGTGGCCCTGACAGAATTCAAACCCAAGCAGTCTGGCTCCAGTGCTTAAGCTATATCACCACTGTAGCACACAGAAACGGTGTGATTGAAGTTGAAGGGAAGGTACAGAGTTTTTCTCGTTATGACCGGCGATCTTTTACTATCCATTTCTTCTCCTCTGGAGACAATGCATGTCTTCAAAGTTCTTACATTGTGGAAACATCCTCTACGTGGGAGGTGCTATGCTTCCTCTCTAAATTTAACAGCCTCAATTCTATGTACTCTGTTCTCTAATACTTTGATGTAGTTTCAGTCCTTTTATCATTTTCTCCCTTCTTCTCTAGGCAAACTCTGGTTAATCTATATCCTCTAGCATCTGGCACCCAGGGGGCAAGAGAGGGACTATCCCCTCCCTTTGGACAATATATCCCTATTAATGTAGACTTCAAGTGTGCTAGTCAGACAGTGGTGGTATCAAGAGGTGACAGTGAGGGTGCTGATTTAGTCTTCCTTAATCTCCATCAGTCCCCCAACCCAAGCCACCCTGAACGAGCATACAGTCTAACTAAAAGCATTGTATCCTCTGTGCCATTACAGCTTCAAGTCTCCTTACCTCCATCCCATACTCTAAGCTCTTTCTATATTTTAATATCACTTTTGGGGCCAAAACACAATGATGGCTTATACTCTTTTTCTTTTCCCCCCAGCTCTATTGAGGTGTAATTGACAAATGAAAATTGTATATATTTAAGGTGTACAGCATGATGGTTTGAAATACATATACACTGTGAAATGATTCCCACGGTCAAGTTAATTCTCACATCAATCACCTCACATAGTTACCCTTTTTTTCCTTTTGGTATACTGAGAAAACTTAAGATCTACTCTCTTAGCAAATTTCTAGTATGCAATACAATATCATTAACTACAGTCACTCTAGTGTGTGTTAGACTCCACAGAACTTATTCATCTTAAAACTGAAAGGTTGTACCCCTTGACCAACATTTCCCTAATTTTCCCTCCCCACCCCCTACCCCCAGCTCCTGGTAACCACTGTTATACTCTCTGGTTCTATGAGTTTGACTTTTTTAGATTCCACATATAAGTGAGATCATGCAGCATTTATCTTTCTGTGTCTGGCTTATTTCACTTAGCATAATGTCCTCCAGGTTCATTCAAGTTATTGCAAAGGCAGGATTTCCTTCTTTTTCATGGCTAAATGATATTCTATTGTACGTATATACAGGACATTTTCTTTATTCATCCATTTATGGACATTTAGGTTGTTTCCTTGCTTTGGCAATTGTGAATAATGCTGCAGTGAACACTGGAGTGAAGACATCTCCTCGAGACTGTGATTTCATTTCCTTTGGATATATATTGAGTAGAGGGTTTGCTGGATCACATGGTTGTCTGTTTCGAATTTTTTGAGGAACCTCCATATAGTTTTCCATATTAGCTGTACCATTTTACCTTCCCACCAACAGTGTACAAATGTTCTCTTTGCTCCATACCCTCAGCAACACTTGTTATGTCTTGTCTTTTTTACAATAGTCATTCAAATAGGTGTGAGGTGATATCTCATTTTGGTTTTGATTTGCATTTCCCTGATGATTAGTGATGTTGAGCACCTTTTCAGGTACCTGTTGGTCATACATATGTCTTCTTTGGAAAAATGTCTACTCAGGTCCTTTGTCCATTTTTTAATTGGGTTGTTTGTGTTTTTGATATTAAGTTGTATGAGTTCTTTACGTATTTTGGATATTATCACCTTATCTGATACATGGTTTGCAAATATTTTCTTCCATTCTGTAGGTTGCCTTTTCCTTTAGAAAGAAGAAAATGTAAACTAAACTATAGTGACAGAAAGTAAATCAATGGTAATCTGGGGATAGGGGAAGGGTTGGTAAAAAGGGCAGATAAAGGGGCATGAAGAAACTTTGGGGGATGGTGCATTTGTTTACTATCTTGATCGTGGTGGTTTTCATTTGTAAAACCATCAAGTTTTACAAGTGAAAAATATATGCCTAGGGACTTCCCTGGTGGTCCAGTGGTTAAGACTCCACGCTTCCAATGCAGGGGGCACGGGTTCAATCCCTGGTTGGGGAACTAAGATCCTGCATGCCGTGTGGTATGGCCAAATACATACATACATATATATATATATATATATATATATATATATATATATATATATGCCAAAATTTATCAAATTGTACTCTTCAAATATGTGCAGTTTGTGGTATGTCAATTATACTTCAATAAGCCTGTTTAAAAAAAAAGCCCTTGAGTTTTTTGAATCTAAATGGAAGTCTCAATATGCCTCTGGAGCTCTTATTTTAGCACTAAATCTGAAGGGAGAGGCTGCTGGGGAGACACATCAAACAAAGGTGATATCTTGCCTGGATGTGTAGAGTGGCTGCCTCAATATTTGGAAAGAAACCTTGGGATAAGAATTGGGATAACTCCTTCATTACGGAAAGACAAAGCTCAAAACATTTCAAGACATCATCTTGTATAGCTCCTCATTATACAGATAAGAAAACTGATGCCCAGAGATTGGTTGTGATTTATACCAGGTCCATGATTGATAGTAGGGCAGGTTTAAGGACAAAAAGATGAGTGGACATGGCCGGGGGTTGGGGGGCTGCTCCCTATGAGCAGGGACTAAGTCCTCTGTCCCTTCTCCCCACCCCCGCAGTAGTTACTCATTGCATAGTCGTGACTGCTTAAGGGCCGTCACGCCTTTGAGTGGGTGGTCTTAGCTCCCGTTCCCCACCCCCGAGAATTAGTGAGAACCAGGTGGCCGCTGAACACTGACCTGCAGTCTCTCCCAGGGCCTCACCCTTCTTCTGCCTCCCACGGGAGGGCTCCATCCTGCAGCCTGGAAGATGGGCTTTTCTGCACCCCAGACGCTGCCCCAAGAGGCAGGAAATGCCAGGCACTTTCCTTCTCCCTACAGACCTTGTGAGCTCATTCTGGTAAAAGTTTAATGCCTAAAGTCAATTACACTTAAGAATGCTCTGCTGAGCCCCACAGCTCAGTGGCTCTTTTCTCAGAGCCACTGGGGCCTGTAGCTGCCTTCCTGCTCCCTTGATGAGATGCTGAGAAAACTTCCCTGCCCTTCCTCACAGTGCAGCGGGGGCCTGAGCTCTGCTTTGCCACCAACTTGCTGTGTGACCTTGAGCAATGCCCATGCCCTCTCTGGGCCTCACTTTGACACTAACAAAAAGGAAGCTGAGAGGGCATGCTCAACTTGCTCACCCTTGCAGCCCCTCATCTCTGGGTGAGAAGAGCAAGAACAAGAGGACACATCAAGATTGGAGGGCTGAAGGGGAATGGTCAGGAGCAGAAATGCCCAAAATACCCTGAATGGGCTCTGAAGTACAGTCTGCAGCCCCAGCCAAGTCTTGAGGTGACTGTGGCCCCTATGAACAGCTTGGTGACAACCTCATGAGAGTCAGAAGCACCCAGCTAAGGCACCCCCAGATTCTCATCCTGGAGAAACTATGTGAAATCATAAATGTATATTAAGTTGCAAACTGTTGGGGTAATTTGTAACACAGCAATGGGTAACTAAAGCAACTGCATCCACAGTCTGTAAATAGTCCTTCATTCAAGTTTCCTGAACCACTTGAGGAGGATTCTGCTTTCTGACTAGTACAAGGGCTCAAGGCAGCAGCTACTCCACAACTGGCATGGAAAATATTCAATATCTGATGGCTTTTCTCCCCAAGAACAAAAAAATAACATGGGACTTCTATTTGCTCTAGGACTTGGCTGCTGTGGCTGTACTGATGTGCTCCATATGAATATCTTCTGACCCATTCATCAGATCTGGGCTTCTGGGGCAGAGCTGCTGTCCTTAGTGAGGGCCTTGGACAGGGAGAGCCTATGGATTGAGGAGGGAATAGGGCCAGGGGAGCGGAGGAGGGCGGCGGGCGGGAAGGGAGAGAAAGGAAGTGAAAGGCAGACAGATAGGGAGCTCAGAGGCAGAATAGAAGATTCAGGTCTGAGTTAGTCCACAAGAACCCAGGAAGACATCTTCCCGGTCTCCACCGGCTCATCAAATGGGATCAAGATGAGAGCCAGAGAGAGTCCAGTACAGGTAAGAGTCCCTGGACTGGCAATTCTGTGTGGTTAATTTAGCATTTCTAGGTGAGTTTTCTTCAAGGCGCTAAATCCTGACAGTGTTGGACTCTCAGCCTCACCGTGATGTCTGTCTCTGCAAGCCAGCATGGGCCCCTCAGAGAGCTCCGGCCTAGAGAAGACAGCGTCCCCTCCGTGGGCGGGGCACTTTCCTCCCTGCAGTCAGCCGGCAGCCTCATATTACTGCGCGGGGGTGGGGGTGGGGGTGGGGCCCCGGGTGCCGCCGCCCCCGCCCCCCGGGCCCCCCCGCTTTGTACAGCTGAGCAGCGTCGGGGTGCCCTCTGTGAGTCATTTCCTGTTATTCTCCTCAGAGAAGTCCTGCCATTCTTTAAAGCAAGATTTGACATTTTTACAGGACTAACTTCTGGGGCCTTTTTGTCAAGAAAAGAAGCAGGGATACTTTCTTTTATATTTACAAAGCCATTAATTGGCTTCTTTATAAAATTAGACTCCATTATAAGCTCAATCAGAGTGGGAGCACAGCTTTATTTAGTCCAAAACATCAAACAGTCTTAAAGGATTCTTTTAAATAACGAAGTGCTCAGGGGCAAGAAGACTAGTGAGGTAGGCTCCGCCGCCTTCTCCAGCTGAAAGCCGGCAGCATTGACTCCGTGATGCATCTGCTGTTCACCTGTGCATCTCAGGTGTGCCCACCTCTGCCCTGGAGAGGGAGAAGGGCAGGAAGGAGGGATGGGCCAGAGCCATCACTGGAGCGCTGCCTGCAGCTGCGCTTCTGGCTCCAGGGACCCATCCAGCTCCAGAGAAGTGCCTGATGAGGAAGCCCCAAGTCTGATCCCGGCTCCAGACCTAGCCCAGGCACCCACAGTTCCAGCCGCGTGGCTCACCACCCTGTGTTCTGCCAGTCACTGAGCTTTCAAAGGGAGTTTATCTCCCCTCAGCCCAACCCAAGAAACTCCAGGAATCAGTGGTCTCCCATCATCCACATCACAGGCTGGGAACCTGGGACCAGTTGCCTAAATGACTTTGATTTCTCATTTCAGAGCACACAGAGCGTCTAGTGCAGGGTTTCTCAAACTTTAGCGTACAGATGCCTCACCTGGGGAGGTTGCCAAAATGCAGACTCTTCTTCAGTCACTCTGGGTTTGGGGGGACTGCTGAGTTTCTGCATTTCTTCCAGGGTGATGCTGATGCTGTTGATCAAGACCATACTTTGTGGAGCAAGGATCTGGTGCAAACCCTTCCTGTAAACGGTTGGGAAGACTGAGGCCACAGGGGGAGAGTGACTTTCCCAAGATACTTCATCAGGCTGGAGGAAGGGTCTCAGGTGAGCACACCTGTCTCCTGTCACCTGGCCTCCCTTGTGATTCAATCCCACGGCTCTAGAAGGAAGTGCATCTGAAACTTTAATGCACCTGAATCACCTGCGGCCTGGTTAAAATAAAGATTCAGTAAGGCAGCAGGGGGACTGAGAATTTTCATTTCTAGCAAGCTCCCAGGTATGCCAGTGCTGCTGGTTCTTAGTGGTAAGGCCATGGACATCATACTTTATGAGGTGCTGTTACATGCATTAGCTCCTCTGAGGCTCACAGCAGCCATGGGACATGGTCAAGCCAAAGGTATTTATTCTCCCCCAATATAGGTGCTTTCCTACCTGAGGCCAGCACAGAGACGGGCTGTGCTATTGAGGCTGCTGCTAGAAAGAGTTTAAGAGCAGGGCCAGGCTCACCTCAGGTTTCTGATGGTCAAGCCACTTACAGCTTAGTCTCTATGAAAGTGTTCCCCAGGGCTATCCTTAACTACTGGGACTGAAGTAGCCAAGGCAAAGTAAAGTTGTGGCAGAGGTGGTGAGGGGCTTACCCAATATCCACTCTCCTCTTTCGTTAGTAAAAGAAATCTGATTTTATTAGAGGTGTCAAAGTGCCTACCTTAAAAAAAGTACGGTTTTAGGGCTTCCCTGGTGGCGCAGTGGTTGAGAGTCCGCCTGCCGATGCAGGGGACGCGTGTTCGTGCCCCGGTCCGGGAGGATCCCACATGCCATGAAGCGGCTGGGCCCGTGGGCCGTGGCCGCTGAGCCTGTGCGTCTGGAGCCTGTGCTCCACAGCGGGAGAGGCCACAGTGGTGAGAGGCCCGCGTACCACAAAAAAAAAAAAAAAAAAAAAAGACGGTTTTAAGTGCCCACCTTAAAAAAATACAGTTTTAATTCTACCTTGAACCTAGGAGTAGACTTGCTCTAAGTTCTGGCCAATGAGTTATTGGGACATTGCTGAATGAGGCTTCTAGATAAGCTCCTTAAAAGAGGGGGCTAAATCAGTTGATATATGCCTTTTTATCCTTTACCACCTCCTCCTCCTACCTGCCTGGAATATAGATGTAATGGTGGGGCTTCAATAGTCATATTGTGACCATGAGGCGAACTAAAGAATAGAAGCCACATCCTCAGGATGGCAGAGGAGAAAGATAGAAAGAGTGTGAGACCTGAGGGGATCATGGCTCTGCTGCACTAGCTCTGAACCACCTACTTCTGCACATCACATTACGTTAGAGAAAAAGAGATGCAGATTCTTTAAGCCAATCTTTAGCGAGTCTCTGTTTCAAGTGACTGTGGGGAATTTCTAACTGATACAATGGTTCTGTCATCAACTTTGAAGGGTGACACAACATTTCCTATGTATTCCATTCCCAGAATGAAATAATAGAATTTAAATTGAATTTAAAATGACCAGAAATAGATAAATTTGAACCAGAGAGGGTGCCGCTGGGTCTGTGAGTGCAGTCTTCTCCCAGCCCTGTGCCATCCTTATTGCAAGGACTCTGCTGCTGTCTCTGGGCCAAAAACATGGCAGACAATGGCAGCTGCATGGGTCTCACATCCACGCTACCCAATAGTAGCGGGGTGACCTTGGACCCAGTCCTCAGTCTCTCTGAGCTTTAATCATTTTAAAAATGAAGACAATAATGACCATACCTATTTCATGAGGCAATTATGATCCTTAAGTGAGATATGGCTCAATTAGTATTAACATTGCTATGTGTTAAGTATTTATTGATGTATATTGTTAGATTTCGAAGGGATTTGATGGGGATACAAAGATGACAAAAGAGTAGTCCGCTTCCCCCAAGGAATCTCCAATCTCATTCCTTTAGTCTTCATTCCTTGACTCTTGTTGCGTGTCTTTGATTGTTAGGAAATCATTTGGATGCTGCCAGAGAAACAGCTCTGCATCCTGGGACCCAGCCCCACAAGCATCTGGATGGACATTCTCCTGAGAGTCCATTTCCCAGGGTCCCTAGGGACTCTGCAAGGTGAGTTCTGAACGGGTTTCTCTAGTGTTCTGGACAGTGCAGAGGTCTTTAAGAAACTGGTCACCTCAGTGTCTTGCCTGGCCTTTCCATTTTGTCTTAGAAAAGTTTGTCCCTAAGTCAGTTTCCTTGGCATTAGAATGAGAAAGATAAAACCACTAGTGACTCAGGGCTGCTGTGAGAGCTCAAGGAGGCTTGTAGGTGAGAGATTGGGTGTGCTGCCCATCACCTGGGGACAGTCAGTGTCCGTCCTCCTTCTGGTGAGTCTGCCTGTGGGTCCTGGCCCCATGCAGCCCTCCTCTGCATCTCTCTGGCTGAGGGTCCACCTGCCAGGCCCCCCTGCAGCTGCCCAGAAGGTTAGTCGTGGAGAAATGCTGTAGCCCCCACGGTGCTGGGCCTAGAGGAACAGGAAGAAGGGGGAGTCACATGAATAATTGCAGCAAACTGACACTTACCCAAGTAAATGGGTCACTCCCTGGCAAGGCAGTCAGGGCAGCGCTGCCTCTGGTGTCTGACTGTCTGAGGCCCATCTGTGCCCACCCCAGCACTGCTCCCCAGAGAAATACCTGCATAAGGGAACCTTTCCTTCCCTCTTTTCCAAGAGCTGCCTCGTTCTGCTCCAATGCCTGGTTGGGGCTGTCCCGGCACCAGCCAGGTCAGGAAGAGCCCCCCAGGTACGGGAAGGAGGGAGAGCATGGTTTGGGGGCCAGGACCAGCTTCCTTCCCATGCTCTCTCTCCACCCTGGTTGTTTAGCCATGGCCAGGAGGACACATACACACACTGGCTTTTCCCAACCAGGGAGGCTCCCAGGTGATGGCTGAAGGGTTTTGGGAGTGAGTTCAGGGGACGACCCAGAACTTGCTTAGAACATTTCATCAGAGGAACCCGGGAGCCACTCTTGGTCCTCCTGGCCATCCCAGCCCCTCGGATGTCACTCGGCAGCTCCCTTCTCACTCGCAGCTCCACCACCTTTGTCCTCATTTCGTTCTGGGAATTAAGTGCAATAACCATGTAAGCCTCTTGGCATGTAATAAGCAGTGTCGGCTGGATCACTGTTAGTGTTGGTGCTATTCTCCCTGCTTTCACCGTCTGTCATGGCCTCAGCCTTCCTCCTTGGGTCAGAACAGCTCACTGGAGAAGTCAGTGCTGACCATGTCCCTGCCCAGGGCAGGGTGCACAGCTGCCGGGTCTCAAAGAAATGCATGAAAGCACTCCCCACTTTCCTAATGGCTCATGGATAAATCTCAGTCAAGCACTGTGGTTTTAATGCTGCGGAGGGAGTGGTCTCTGGATCTTCTCCCCCGACACTGCATCTGGTGGCCACCCATTCCCATTCTGAGCTTGATGGTGAGAGCTGGATGCTGTGGTCCACGCTTATCATTAGAGGGGGGAGGACGTGTGAAGCTGCCCACTGGCCGGGCACCAGAGCTCTGGGCTGGGCTTTTTACCCGATGTCCAGGGAGAACAGGCGTCCCAATGCTGACAGGGGTTACCTCGGTGTCTGAGAATGTGTGCACATATGTATGTGTGTGTACGTATGTTTCCCTAGGGCTTCCAGGTCTACCACACATTTTCTGATGAAGTACGTGGTAATTTTATGGTTAGTAGAACCAAGTAAATTATAAGATATAGTTGGAGCAGAGGAACCAGGCCCACATCAGATGAGAATGAAAAGAGCAGGGCCAGTGTGGGAGTCATGGGTGTGGGGGATCTGTTCCTGCCCTGGAACCTGCCTGCTGTGTGACCTTGGGCAAGTACCTTCCCCTCTCTGGGCCTCTGTTTCCTCATCTGTGAAACAAGGAAACGGATTAGATGAGCTCTTGGTTCTCTCTAGCGTTGACATTCTATGATCCTCTCATTCTGGTGGAGACACTCTGGATCTCTTTTGGTCCCGTTACTTTTCAGACAGTTAGGAAATATGCTCCCTGGCTCTTTCTTGCCTTCCAGGGCTGGGTGACCCTGCATATTGTGCCTCAGGTTCCAGAGACCTAAATACTCCAAGGGAGCTGGTAGGGATAGACCATTAAACTCTGCAGTACAAACTCTCAGCTTCCACCAAATCACCAGCTTTCACCTGTTCCTCCCAAGCCCCTACCCAAGGAGGAGGTACAGCAGCGTCCCATCACAGGCCTGCTGGGCACAGATCATGGAAGACCTCCCCTCCCAGAGCAGAAGGCATGGAGTGGTGCAGGATCAATGGCCTGGGTCTAAGAATGAAGTGAACATTCCCTGGAACTAGGAAGGGGATTTTCTTGAATGATAGAGACCTCAGTACTTTGTGCACTCTCTTCAGTTTGGCTGGGGAGAAATTTTGAGCTAGGGGTAATGAGGGTTTTCAGGGGTCAGGGCAGAACCAGAGCAAAATACCCTTGTGATGTTCAAGGGAAGTTGCGTTCCAGGCCCTAGGTGTCCCAGCCCTGGCAAAAGATGTCTTACCAAGCAGGGCACCAAGCAGTCAGTTGCCACCTTCAAGAGACCATGCAGGTTTAAACAATGAGCATGACCATGGTGACTGGTGCAGGTGCAAGGCCAGGGCACCTTCCCAGATGCTCCAGACCTTGTAAGGAAGGCCTGGAGAGATCACTCGCTCCTGGGAGGAGGTAGAGAGAGGAAGCACCCCAGGGATGACTGAGATGAAGTTCTCATTCCTCGGAGGGACGGACATATGTCATTTAATGTCAGAAAAATAAAGTCATATAGCATTACTTGAGTTATAGTGCAGTAAAACCCCTGCTTGCTACATGCTGATCCTCAAATGGTCTGAAACAGGAGGCAGAACTGACATCAGTCATCTCCCTGCAGAAGATCCTTTGCCAGTCTTGGTCCATCTCACTGAACATCCTCCACCATCCTCGGCCAGGTATCCAGGCCCCAGTTCCCTTCCACAGGAGTGGCACCCACTGTGGACTGGTTTGTGTCCCCCGAAATTTATAGTTTGAAACCCTAACTCCCAATGTGGCTGTATTTGGAGATAGAAGATAAGAAGATAACCAAAGTTACAGGAGGTCATAAGGATGAGGCCCTAACCTGAGAGTGCTGGACTTTTTATAAGAAGAAGAAGAAACACCAGAGATCACAAGTGCACAGAAGAAAGGCCGGGTGAGAACACTGTGGGAAGGTGGCTGTCGACAGCCAGCAGGCGAGCTCTCACCAGTAACGCAACCCTGCCAGGCTTGATCTGCAGCTTCCCAACCTCCAGAACTGTGAGAAAATAAACTTCTGTTGTTTAAGCCACCCAGCCTGTGGTATTTTGTCATGACAGCCCACGCTAATACAGTATCCAAAGTCTAATGCTTGACACGCTGCATCAGAATCATCCAGAGTGAAATGCACTTGTGAAAAATGCAGTTTCTTGGAATCAACTGCACCTAAAAAAAAAAGAAGAAGAAGAAATCCCTAGAAATAGGGCTCTGGACTATACATTTTAGGATCACCCCTGGCAATTTTGACAGGGGCTGCTGGACAGGATACTCCTGTGAATGACATTTGGCTGCCCCTCTGCTGGTCCATTGCTGGGTCTCCATCCATCCTCGCTCTCTACCCTCCCCATCCAGAGGAGCCCAGATACAGCCCTGCCCCTTCCAGGAAAGCTCCAGCCTGTCCAGCCTGCCGTGACCCCCACTCCAGTGAAATCCTTCAATGAGTTTTCTGCTCTGAGTGCCAGGAAGCATACCCTAGGGAGATCTGAGATGGTTTGTCATGTTCCAGTCATTTCTGACCAGTGAGAGGGGTTGTGGGCCAGGGTACACCTTTCTCCTTTGCATTAACAGCTGTTTCTCAACAGACACAGTTCCCACCCATCTGCCAGCTGTCCTTCTTCAGCTCAGCTCCAGCTCTGCTGTTTTATTGGCCACAGATGCAGACAGGTTGTTCTAGAATTACATGTGACAAGTGCATGAACCTTCACAGCCGAAACTGTGAGTTTGTTGAGGGAGAGGTCGTCTGAGTGCCTCCCCTGGAACGCCAGCTCCATGCACAACTCCTGATACAGAGAGACTCGGTCCCAGCTGGTTCACCACCCCAGCCTTGCTGACCAGCACCTGTCTTCATCTTTCTCCCAGTGGTTGGGTCACAGGTCAGAAGGGCACCATCTGTGGCCTGGGAGAGTAGGTATCTCACTGCCCCTCACAGGAAACTGTCCTCGACCCAATTCTAATCTTATTCTGACTATTGAAGTAATTTCTTCTCACTGTAGAAAACCTGGAAAGCACAGGAAATTAACTGCATTGTTAAAAGTACATTTTCAGAAACCTCCTCTACCAATGCAACTTCATTTGTTCAATCATTCATTCAGCAAATACTTGAGCTAACAGTTCTTTCCCCAAATAAGCATTAGAGAGGGAGAAAATGAAGGTCACAGAGCAATTCTCTTTCTGCACGGAATCACTAACATCATTTTTGATTTAAGATATGTAGTTTATTTCAATTAAATATATATTATACTGAAATGCTCCTTGGACTCGTATTTCATCTTGGATTGAAATATCCATTAACATCCATTCTGTATTTCCTTTGTCCATTTAGATTAAGTTATATTCAGAGCTCCCGATTCTCCAGGGCCTGGCATAGCTCTTAGAGCACACCCTGCTTCTTCGAGCCCAGCTCTGAGTTTTTCCTCCAGCCGAGGACTAAGAGGTTTGAGATCCCAAATGTTTTCTCTTCTTATAAGAATTTCTTCGGCCAACTTCTACTGAATCCATATCAGGCAATGCATTCTCCTCTGAACAGTGTTTTGTAAAGTGAAATGCCATTGTCTCAGGCTGGTGCTTTCTGATTTCACTGCCATCACTGATTTAGGCATCTTTTCTTCTACCTATTTTTTTTCTCTTACTTTGAAATTATGAAAGTAGTTATCAATTATGACTCTAAAACAATTGTCATTTTAATGAATGTGCATCTATTTCAGAGATAATGTGAGCAACAGTGCACTTCTCCTGCCAGCACCGCCCCCATCCAATCCTATTGTAGCAAGGAACTCAGGGTACAAAATAAAATCACACCTCCTTTAGTATTCAAATTCATGTAACTCCAAGCTCTGTTCTGTTCCCTTTGAGGGGGTCTTTCTTCCCCAGTGCCACTGGTTCATGCAAACTTCAAGAATCTCAATGGTGAGTTCACTGTACTTAGTTCATCCAGCCAACTTGGAACCCCAGGGGAAAAGTCATGGTATCAATCCATTT